GTATATATAGTAAATACTAGGGTTTCCCCAATAGAGTAACTTAGTTTAAGTTCCTTAACAGCAACCCAGGATTTCGGGCGTCGCTTCAATGCGGCAACCCACTGGGCATCCTCCTCGCCGGCAGAAGTGCGCAGACCGCGCCGACGCCTGTTGCCACTGCCCTTCTGGATGTACTCCATGCTGGCCTGAGTTGTGTCATGCTCCAGAAGTGGTACGATTATATTCAGTTGCTAAAATGGGTTGCTGCGAAGGAATATAAATTAAGCTGCTATAATATAGGGAAACCCCTTGTATCTACGATATAGCCATATTAAGGTAACTTAACTTCAGCTCCTTAACAGCAACCCGGTAAATACATGGGATCATCTCCCAGTAGCTCAAGGGATGGTTTGAGGACTATCATAGGGGGTTGCTATTAATAATGGGTATATAGGGTTTAGGGTTTATGGAGGGTCAGGGTGACTTAGTAAGTAGGTTAATAACCCCTATAACTCATAAAATGACCCAAGTTACCCCCATTATTCACTCACTATTTCAGTCCGCTTGGCCCTCGAAGTAATAGCTCTAAACCCTGAAGACTAAACCCTAAACCTTGAACCCCAGTAGAGCTGGTTGAGGCTGGAGGGGTAGTTTGAGGCCCGGGTTCCAGAGCGAGGGCCGCAGGTGGGATACGGAGGGTTTCCCAAATTAGGGTCCTATCTTTGAACCCCTAAGTATTACACGTGCCGTAGTATAATTCATACTTAGGCAAAATTAGGGTCCTATTTTGGACCCCTACGTATTAGAGGCGCTGTAATACAATCTATACTCAAAAGGGGTCCAACACTTTGAGAATAACCCATATCCAACCTGCTATGGGGCTTTTTGAGACTTACCCCTAGTATAGAACCCTGACTGGATGCCAATGATCCTTTTGTAATCTCGCCACGGATTTGCATAACTCTCATGTCGAGTTGAAGCCATGTAGCATCCTTGAACGGATGGACGACCAAGAGCACGATGAATGCAAATTCATGCAAGCAACAAACCTTTGTCAACCTACTCAGGGAGGACAACAGGGCCAGAGAAGCAAATGGCTTTAGTTGAGGCTTGTATAACCCCCCAAACCCGCTAAACCTCAAACCCCTGAACTTGGGGTGAAACCCTGGATTGTTGTGTGATTCACGGCCCTATTGACAAGTCAGTTGTGTCTCAAGACTGGGTTAGGTTCACACGCGCGGGCCAATGAAACCAGGATCTTGGTGCGGTTAATGCTGGTACATACAGCCTTTGAAAAGAAATCGTATGCCCCCAAACCCGTCGCTTAACAGCAGACCTTGAAAGGGGTATGATGTTCAAGTGCTTCAGCCCGAAGCTAATCCTAAGAACCGGTCACGAAAAAATACCTTCCCTCTCGCCAAAAGTAAGGCACTTCTTGGTGTACTAGAATATATGACGGATTGTGTAAAATCCTGGTATCCCGCTTCATAACCCCCATAATACTCCCCTATATAATTCCCTATGTAAACCCCCTTTTAGAAGTTTAGACCCTAAACCCTAAGGCCCTTTAAGGAGATAAGGTCAACCTTATCCCACAGAGGATTCAAAAAGTTCGCCTGCTCGGAGCCCTGCACCCTGAACCTTACAAGGTAAAGGGCTTAGGATATCATTGGGGAACTTGGAACCATAGCAAACATTGTATTTTTGCTGTTCCTTAGGATTATAATAAGCAAAAAGTAAAAATTATTTCCAAGTACCCCTAAGATATAGTGTTTATAGAGTTGAGGCTCCATAGGCTGTGAAAAAACTCGGCATCCATGATGGTCTAAGCCCCATACTCCTCTCGGAAGAGTTCCTGCTCAGCAGGATTCAGAGCTTCTGCGAAGGAAGTGATGTAGACACTCGGGCATTCTTTAGTACAGTTATATGTCAGGGTTTATTACGGAATAGCATTGAAACTTATTTCCTGAGGGTCCAAGGGCCCAAATAAAATAGGGTTTTGGGCCCACATACCAGTAATATTATAGTATTTGGGCCCTAAAGCCCTATTCTTTAGGTCCTAATACCCCTATATAGTCCCCATATAATCCCTAGATATCCCCCTAGAACCCCTTTAAAGGGATCCCATTATTTGGGTCCTTGCACCCTTGGGGATTCAGGCTTGTGCATTGCTTTGGGGGTTCAGGGCTCGGGATGCTTCAAGGGATCACAGCCGAACAGCAACCGAACAAGCAGGTTCCTGCGAACAAACACTTCTGACGTTATAGTAACGGTTTGGGGGTTTAGGGTTTAGGGTTTAGGGTAACCCTACCCTACACCGTGAAGAGTATCCAATTCGACTTTTATTCGAGCACTGCACCTATCAACAAATTCATGAGAACATTTGGCAAGCCTCCCTGGCCCCTTACGCCCCGGTCCCGCCCGCTGAGATCCTCCACCCCACCCATAAAGCTTTCTAGTCACAATAGTTTAGGGCCTATGGGTTTAGAGATTTTGGGGTTTAAAGGGGCTGGGGCATCAAGAGAGACCTGACGGAGTCTTCTAGAGAAGGTTGGTAATTCTTCGCAAAGTGGATGGGGAGTTACGGTTGGGCTTGCTACGCTGCAGCTTTACCACTGCGTCCCCCTGGTGGATGCTTTTCCTGGCTTGGGACACAAGGGCCTATTTATCAACCCTAGACCCTTAAAGGATCCAACCAATGGAATCCCTAAAATGACCCAAGTTCTTACATTGGGAGAAGTAGGGGTGCTTTGGGAAGCTCCATCTTTTGGACTTTTTAGTGGGTCTGGGAGTATCATTGTGAGGTGCATTTGCTATGGCCCCTAACCCTAAGCCCTAAAGCCTCTCAAATGTAGCAAGGTCTTTATTTTCCATATAATTGATGGACATGGGTTTCTTATTTGGGACTGTTCTACCTAAACCCTAAACCTTATACTAAACTACAACAGGGATCTCCATGTCCACTAAGGCCGATATTGACAGTAGCTCACGTAGCTTTTAGGGTTTAGAGCATGTTTTTGGACCTTTACCTAGACGTGATATACTAGAACCCCGTCTACGAGGATTCAAAACTTAAAGTTGGAATATCTCTGCGCGAACACCGAAATCTACCCCAAACCCTGTCCTGAGTTACAGATGAGCACTGTCCTTGAAGCCATACTGCGCATGCCTTACTTGCCTCAAATCCTTACCTTGCGATTACAGATTCAAGGTGCGGGGTCCAAGTACGTATAATTTTGTACTTGGGGCTTGCGTGACAACAATTATAGCACGGGTTTCGGGGAGGTGTATGAATATTCCATACTTGGACGCTTAGGGCCAACCATTCACAATGCCAAAGTTATGAAACTGGAGAGGCAAGGAGACATGCGAAGTGCTTAGGGTGAACTATCGCTGAACAATATGATTGTTTCGTCATAGGTACCCTAAACCCTAAACCCTTGCATCATCGTCTGCATCTTGGAAAGTGTCTCCGATGAGCTGCAATGACCGTGTGTAGCTACGCTACATGAGCCATAGTCTAAACTCCACGTATCCCCCGAATAATCCCTGTAGTCCCCTGTATAATGCCCTATGTAATCTGCTTAAAGGAGTTTAGACTATAGCTCACTTGGATCTGCTATGAAAACAAGTACGCTGGGTATACTGGAGCTGCAGTTCTTCTCTGGCAAACCACTTGGGGCTCTATTCAGCATCACCTTTCCTGATGCAGTTACCAAGACATGCTTCGCGATTTGCCCAGGAACCTTTCAAACATCGCGTAAGGTTTAGAGTGTAGAGTTGACATCAACCTGAGACAGCTCCATGAGGCTGCACATAGACCAGAAGTTCGACACTTTTCTTTATAATCCCTTTGTATGTTTCCCCAGGCAAACTGTGTAGACTCTGGACCACAAATTAGGCAAGCTTTGTGAACTTCATGACCCGAAGTAGATGAAAATTTGCAGCCGTGCCATCCTCAAAGTAAAGGTTTAGGGTTAAACGCCCTTAACCCTAAACCCTAAAAACTTATAAGCCCTTAGCCCTAAACCCTCAACTCTTATTATCCCTAAACCCTGAACCCTCAACCCTTATTATCCCTAAACCCTAGACCCTAAACCTTAAACCCTAAACCCTAAACCTTAAATCCTAAACCTTAAACTGCGGCCTAAG